TATAAAGTTTTTTTTTAATAACTACATATAGACACCATGATCGTGCAGATCTAATATATGCGCTGAAAGATATGAACAGATTTAGACAACACGTTGATCTAGTCCTTACATATCAACAAAAATCGGTATCCGTCTCTCGGTGGATAATCCGATGATCTAAAAATCAACTCAAACTAATATCCATGATCCGTAAGTGATCTGATGTCTCCGTTTCTTTCTTTTCGGTCACGCTCTTGGTCTCCTTGTCAGATGGAACTTCGAAATCATCCTCAAGGTGCCTCCCCACAGCCAACGCGATTGAGTGATATGCCCCGTTATCCTTGATGCTCACCTCTTGTCGGGTGGAACTTCCATTGGGTAAATGACTTTGGTTCCTACACTCCGAACACGGAACCTCAGAAGTAAAATAAGTACACGAGGAAGAAGTTTTGTTACCTCGTGTGTGGACTTCTCTTTTATATAAGATAGTTTCGTCCTTTCGAGCATCAAGATTTTGCGCCTTCATTGGGTCTCCGGTATTGGAAAGTTTTTCGGGTATACGCGTTGGCGTTGGCGTTCGTTGGCACCCATTCTTTGACAGCTTCTTGTTCATTTGTCGCTCTACTTGAATTGCCGTATGTACAAGATGTCTCAAGTCACGATATACGTGTGGGTTTACCTTTCTAGCGATTCGGTCTTTCAAGCCCTCTAGAAAGTGTGCCATGAGATCTTCTTCATTGTCGTCGATTCTCAAGTAAGCAAGGAGTTGTTCAAATTCTCCAAAATAGTCCTCAACCGTCTTGTCTCCCTGCACGATGTTGTCAAATCTATATTGTAATTCATGAAGACAATGTCGAGATACATACCTTTTTCGCATGAGGATTTTCATCTCCTTCCAAGTGGAAACCGGTTCATAATGTGCACGTCGTCGATTTCGTTCTTCTCGTTCCCACCACATGATGGCATCTTCGGCAAGATGGGCAGCCGCATAGTGAATCTTCCTTCGGTTCGTCAAGGAATAACATTCGAAATTGGCATCCATTTGGCGCTCCCACTCAAGATAGACCTCGGGCTCCTCCTTTCCAGTAAACACGAAAAGTTTGAACTTTGGATCAGCCCTCTCATCACGAGTTGGTCGACGATATTCTCGGTCATATGGATTCTTGAATCGGCCATCATCGAGGGGTTCATGGTGAGGCCTCTTTAGATTTTTAGGTATGGTTCTCTTCCCCTCACTTTGTTTGTTTAGCTCCCTAGCAGATTCCACGGGTTCGCTCACCTCCTCAAGTCGTGTGATACGATCTTGAATCTGTTGGATCATCCTATAAACCGAACTGTCACTGGATACGTTTGCCATCGATACTGAGAAAGCAAGCCACGGTATATGCAAGTAACAAAACGTGCAGCACTAAGTCCGAACAAATATAGCAGAAACGTTCAACGTGCAACAATGTCATGTACAAGCTAAAACATGCACTTCACGCAACAAGTAACGTTCGGTAATGACACAAATGCAAACAGATTTCGAAATGATCAAAGTGAATGAAA